ATAGAATAGAATAGAATAGAATAGAATAGAATAGAATAGAATAGAATTCTTTATTGGCCAAGTGTGATTGGACACACAAGGAATTTGTCTTGGTGCAAATATTCTCAGTATACTTAAAAGAAAAGATACATTTGTTAAGAATCAAGAATCATAATGTACAACACTTAATGATAGTCATAGGGTACAATCACTGCAACTTTTTATTGCTGTGTCTTAATTAAACCTCTTGAAATATGCTCAAAAACCTGTAGGTGATATTCCAGTCACATCGCTCTATGGTACCTTTTAATGGGAGAGTCCCATGAAGCTCCACAAAAATTGTCTAGTGACCATAATGGTTACGCTGCAAATTTCTTTAAGCTTCTGGCATGCTAATGAATCCTATGGGTTGCACTAATGTTTTTGGTAATGCAATGATTCATATTCTTGTCAAGGCAACTGTACATACAGCTTTACTTCTTCCCCAGGTAACTGGCACCACACACTAGCATACATGTGTAGATGAGCTCTTACTCCTTACTGCCTATATCCTCTTCCTTGCTCTTTTCAATTGAAAGAGAACTTATAAAATTGCTTCAAAACCCAAGTTGGCACACTTTCTATCGGAATTATTACAATGTGCTCTATGTGGAGCTTACAGGCAGTGTGCAATGCCATGCTCTGAATGGTTATGAACGTACATGGCACAGTAACACCAACTACTATGATGTATTTGTGAGCTGCATTGGGCCCCGTTGATTTTGGGGTCCAAGTCAAGACGTTAGCTATTACCCCCTAAAGCCCTTCATTGCATAGAGCCATGTTATTTGCAAGGATTACCTGTCTCTGATAACAGATAATCAGAGTTGGAAGGGACCTTGTAGGTCATCTAGTTCAACCCCCCGCCCAAGCGGGAGACCCTATACCATTTCTGACAAATGGCAGTCCAATCTCTTCTTGAAATCCTCAAGTGATGTCTCCAATTATTTCTGCCTATCCCCAACAGAGTGGGCATGTTCTGAATCCTTTCTGTTAAACAGGCCTTGCCCTATGGAACAGTTAACCCACTGAGATTCAGGTGGCCCCAACCTGTCAGTCTTCTGTAGGGTATCAAAGAGCTGGTTCTTCCCTCAAGTATTGGATCAAGATAATTGGTGAGCTTATCTTCAGGGATATGCTTGTGTGGTATATGATTCACCCTGAATGCAAGGTGTTGTTTTGATTATCCTAGATTATTTATGGTTCCTTTTAATAGACTGTTACCTGTCCTGTCAGTGAGCAAATATCTAGATTGATGAATGGATAAAGGTGACAAATAACACATAGCCCTTATTGGTGATCTTGGCACACACCTGTTTCTCTCTTTTCATGACTTCTTCAAGAGTTGATTTAAGTGCTGTTGCTTCTGTAGTCACAGACTCCAACAAGTGTTTAGCCTTTTCTTTATTTTCCTTTGCTTCACGTTCTCTAACATGTAGCTCAGACTGGACACAGGTTAATTGCTTCTCAACTTTTGTCTTCATCTTTTCCAGTTTCTCTTGAGATTTGCTTAGTTCTTCTATGGTTTTGTCTTGCTCCAGTGCTTTGATCTGAACACAAATTCAAAAACAACAACAACATGGAAGTGATGTAAGGGAAACATCATATAAGATGCCAAGAAGTATTTCAGTTTTCCCTGAGCCTCATCTACCCAAATAAGGCTCACTTGCAGGAAGAATGCTACACATATTTGAAGTTGTGTCAGGGATGGGCTATCTCCTAAATGTCAGGTTCTTGAAGAAGGCACATTGCTAATCATTTCAAAATAGCTTTCTACTGTGAAGCAATTGTGATGGACAGGTTAGGCATAGTTATTATGAAGTTAAACACAAATCTTTTATTCATACCCCTCTAAATATGGCTTGAATCACGCTATTAGCTTTATTACCCACCTTCAGTTCGTTCGTGTCAGCAAGTTTAACTTTCAGATCTGTGTTTGTTTCTCTCGCCAAAGAAAGTTCATTCTGCAATCTGTCTGTTTTCTTTTGTAACTTTCTGAGTGTGAGGTTGGCCTCATCCCTTTCTACTGCCAGGGCTGTGCGCACTTGCTTCTCTTCTTCCAGATGGACGATCTTCTGACGCAAAAGTTTCACATGCAATTCTTTGTTCTCAAGTTGCTCTTTCTGAGTTTTTACCTACATTTTGAAATTTTTTTTAAAAAAAAAACATGTACCTGTGTTAGTAAATATTCATTTATTTATATGCTCCATTCAGGGAAATGTGGAGCCTACTTCTCTCTCTTCACTTTGATGGGATTTGAGTGAGACTTAAATGAATACTATTCCAGCCCTAGTTTGGTATTACAATGCTGTAAAAATGAACCAAGCATTAATAGCTCTGTTGTTTAGATATTTTTCCTACCTTCCTCTGTAGGTTTCGGACCATGATCTTATTGTCAGTCAATGTATCTCCTTCCAACTTGATCAACTGCTCTGCGCGAGCCAGCACTGCATCCAACCTCATGTCAAATCCAACCTCCACTGCTATTCTGTCCAGGTTCATCTTTTCAGAGAGCTGATCCAGAAACTTAAGATACTTTGGAAAGAAAATATGAGGAGAAAGGCATCCAGTTTGCTCAGAACAAAGCTTGCATTCTTAGCCTCTTACAACTGCTTTAACAGAAATAAAGATTTATTAATGCAATAAAAATGTTACATTTTTATTGCTTCATGTTTTCTTGCCATGTAACTATTAAAGGCATATATTTTCAGACATTTGCAAATCATCTAATATGGCTCAAAGGGCTTGCATTTAATCTAACATGTGAAAAATATTTTAATTAATTCATGCTTTCTGAAAGACTTTTATGGCCAGGACTAAACCAACACATGGAAGTCTTCTTTATTCTTTTCCATTACAATAGGATGGACCCCAAAAGGTTCTCTTTTCTTTCCATGCTCATTCTGTCTCATGATTGTCCACGTCTTCAGATCTTAAAAGAGAACACCCACTAATAAAACTAGGGCAGGCAGCCCACCAGAGAATGCCAATATTTAATCTGCATTAAGTACAGCATGCACGTTATGCCATGTTGCAAGAGTTTTTGTTTTTCTAAAGTTCTGAATACAGATATCACAAGTTTTCCAAATTTGTGTCACTTCCTAAAAGTCACAACAGGCCTTCCTTTAGCTTCCAGTACATTTCTAGGTACAACTCAAAGTGTTCAAAGTAGCACATAAAGTCCTTTCTTGCTAAGCTCCCAGTATCTTCAAACAACTTTCTCCCATCAGAACCCACCATCCAGTAAATATACCTCAAGAGGATCTGCTAGTGATGTTTCACTTTCCTGAAGTAGGGAGAGGAGGGCTGAGACCAAAAAATTGTCTTCCTCAGGGAAACTGTGGAATAGCTTCCCTCCAAGGTTAAGCCTTTGAGCTTTCCAGAAACTGGTCAGAATGGAGCTTTTCTGAAGACTATTTGGCATTTGTCTTTTGAGTATTTAGGTGATATTGTTTTTTTGTATATTGTTGTATTGTTTGCATTTTGATGCTGTCAACAGCTGTCAACCTCTTTAAGGATTAAGGAAGTGAACAGGTGGATCTTGACTTGTGACCATATATTGAGAAACCGTTTGAAATTAAAGGGTACTGAATGAATGGACTTACAATGCTGCTCTGAGTAATAACGGCTGCAATGCCCGCATGGTCACATGAACAAAATTTAGTTGCTTGGCAACCCACCTTTCCTTATGTCCAGCTGCAGTAATGTGGCCTATCTTTCCCTCATCCTACCCTCTGGGTCCCCATAGCCTGCTTCTCACTCCACTGGGTCCTACCCCACATCCTCACTCTCATCATAGCTCGGTCACTTATATTTTCCATAGATTTCCTTTGTGAAGTAGCCATTCCATTGCACAGTATGCCAACATGGAGGCCCCATAGTGCTATCCTGGAAGTGGGCACCATTTTGGGTGTGGCCACAATGAAAACAATGAGTGACCATAATGTGGCCATTCCAAAATGGTGTTCACTTCCAGGACAGCACCATGTAGTCTGCATACTGTATATGAGAGAACATTTTGCCTTAAAAATGGCCAGTACCTGTGCTGCTGTTTCTCTGTCCATTTAAGGCCTCTTCTAGCCAGAATAGCAACTGTTAGCTATAAAAGCTAAGCAGGGAGGCAGCTGGGACTGAAGTATTACTATAAGGAGTAGTAGTTGGAGGAACAGTAGCTGAAGGTGTAGAAGCAGTGGGGAAGCGTGGAATAGAGAGCAGTTAGTCAGTTCTACGAGTACCAGCCTGTTAGTGCTTGTATGGGTGTTGTCTAGGACCTGTGTTGTTGGATTGGCTCTTTGTGTTTTGGAGCCCACTGTCTTGGGTCCACATTAAAAAAAACATATAGGGAGGTTGAGGGGCAGAGTGGCCCTCTCCCTTTCTTGAAAGTTATCTTCACTTGAGCATTTTTGTTGAAAACTGGCAAACAATGCTGGAAACCAGCAAAAGCCCAGTATGACGTGTGGTCATGCGACTGTTGAATATCACAACCAGTCATAAAGCTAATCTGCACTACATGCAGTCATGGGGTGGCAGCCCAACTATTTATGTTGGCTGGGGATCTTTATGGGCTGCTAAGGCATTCATTCTATGGTTATTTAACTCTGAACGTTACAATAAAATGACAAAACTGAAAACTGAATGGACATCTCCAAGCAGTCAGCAGGAACTAAACTTGATGAAAGAGGTACATTTTTTAAAAAAATGTTTAAGATACCACAAAACTCTTGTGTTCTAAATGGTACAATGGCTGTATCTCTGGAGTTCTTCCATTCTCACTTAGCAAACAAATGGAAAACAATAAAGGTACTAATGTTTTCTAAAGCAGGGATCCCCAACCTTTTCGACGCCGCGGCCCGGTTCCGGCATCAGCTGGGCGCCGCGGCCCGGTACCGGCGTCAACTGGGCGCCGCCATCTTTTTATGACGAAAAAGCGCTTCCGGTGA